CCCCTCCCACCCTCCCCTTCCCCTTAGTCCCCCCTGCCCTAAGTCCCGTCCCTCACGCGCTTCTCCTAATCCAACCTCATCACCAAGTCACCCCTCTACCAGCCCAGCCTCTCGCTGCGCAACCCCAGTCCATCCCCCCTTCCCACGCCTAGCTCCCCTACACCTTTCCCAGCCCAGCCCCCTTCCCCTCAAGTCCCTCCACCCCCTTGGTCCGTCGCGTAAGACACGGACCCACCCATGCATGTCCCTCGCAGCCCAACTTCCCCCCCCCCTCAGTCCCTCTAGGCGCCCAACTTGCTATGATTGTCTGCTAGCATGTTGTCAACGTCGCGCATTCATTTCGTACTTCGTAAAGACTGAATCATACCGTTTTCATGGCTGACTAGTGTAATACAGCAAACAGACCATGGAAAACATTTTGTCTTATAAATCAGACTAAGCTCCAACTTTCGTCTGAAAAATCAGACTTTTTTTTTTGCCCGTCTGAACGTCAGACAAAACGATTTTTTTTTGGGGGGGGGGGGGGGGGGGGGACTTCAGACAGGCCTAAATCCTAGCAAGAGCCCTGGTTGGCGACTGCTCCGTGTTTCACGTCACCCAATGATAAATACATTTGGCGACAACCGCGGTCGGCCCGGCATTCTGACACCTGGCAGCATATGCTGTACGTACGCGTCACAATCGATTTGGACGCATCGATTGGGACATGGTCCACAGCGGAATGCACCCTTAGGGGGTGTTCCTGTGGAGACACTCGTGTCTCAACCCCCATTTTCCCGAGTCGCGCTTGTAAAATTTCCCAATGTCGCGTCACAAACATCAAGTGTACCACGACTTATGGCGACAGATTGGCCGGGACAGTTGGACACTTTTCACTGGATGCGATGAAAAGAAATGTACAGAGACATGCATTTGATTGGGTGACTGTACACCCGTTTTTTCAACCCCCGGGCGTGGTTTCAATACGCGGGACTTTTTTTCCCTCGCGATATTGGCATTTTCGGGTGTCCAGGTGCATGTGGCCGTGTCGACATTCCGAGTCGCGTACGATTTTTTAACAATGACTGGTCTCATCGCAATTCGTCAGCGACGTCAGCGCATTCCGCGCTGACCAATAAAAAATACAGTGAAAGTCGTAGTGAGGCGACTCGCATTTGAGACACCATACAGTACATATTGTTTTGGGTGTCACAAAGTGATTGAGACACAAAGTGTCTCCACAAGAACACCCCCTTAGTGAACACTGTATAATGAAATTACCGTAGTTATACGGTATGAGGGCACCAGTACATGTCACTAGCTGTGGCATGTCATGTCCTCCCTAGCCTGCATCATCTCTTTTGCTGCCACTGTGACTGGATCGGGCATCAGCAGAGGAGTGAATCTCCAATCCCTCCCCACATGCACTAGGAACATCCTTCCCATCCTCCAATGTCTTCTTTGTTGTGAACTTGTTGCGCCCGGCGTCTTCCATGCCTTGCTTGTGGTCGAGGCAAACGATGATGACTATAAGGGGTATGAACATGACCAGGAATATGTACACAAAGGTGGGCCGGATCGTGCCAGAAACCTGCAGGATGGAGGTGAAGGTGGGTGGGGGTTGGAGGGAGGGGGAGGGGGTCGTGGGAAAGGCGGGAAGCGAGTAAGCAAGAGTTAGGGTACAGTATTGAGATGGAGGCAAGTGGGATGAGATGAGATTGAGGTTGTGAATGGGCATTTTACTGCCATGTGGGTGGCCTCTCTGCACATCACATTGATGGATGGAACCCATGCGGATGTGTGTCCAGCTCAGCACATCAAGGAGCTCACTCGGCAAACACAATTGACCGCAATGCTTGGCAAGGAGCAGGTTAGCACACTACAAATGAAACGAGCATATCTCACCTGGGCGATGATGGCGACGACGAATGGGCCAAAGGATGAGCTGCCTTTGTCACTGATGGTGTAGATGGCAAAGAACGCCCCCTCCTTGCCAGTCGGCATCAGGTCCACGTACAGCGTACGTGAGTAGGACAGTAGTGGGCCCAGACACAGGCCGAACCACCCCACGTATGCGAATAACTCCCATGTGTGCTTCAACCCGAAGCTGTCTGTGAAGTAGCCGATAAGGCCCCACAGCGGCAGGGGTAGCATGCCGCCCAGAGCAATCATCGCCATTGTCTTGTTGCTCCACTTGGTTCGTCTTTGAATGAGGTAGAGAACCGGCATCCCGGCTGCCGCCCAGAACGAAACCGAGGTGGCGAGGATGGCGAGTGTTGCGGGCGGCACGCAGAGATCCTGCTGCCCAAATATAACCCCCACTTGGATGATAGTGGAAAACCCATCAGCGTACACAAAGTAGCATGCGATGAACACGAGCGCGTTCCGGTGGTGCCGGTACGCGTCTGCTAATGTGTCTCCCATGCCTTTCCAGCTCGCCCCGACAACGCTAAGAAAGAACCGCACCCGGCTATAGCTGGACCCCCAGCTGTAGCTGCAACCCCGGCAGGTCTCGCCCGAGCTGTAGCAGCCGGCACCGCTACAGCCGGACCAGCAGCCCCTGTCCGTGCCTTCCCGCGCCCCCTCTGCCTCGTGATTCCCCACAGAGGATGGAGCGGGGAGTGGGAGCGGGGGTCCCGGTCGGGCACGGAGGAAGTGAAAAGTGGGGAGCGCGAAGAGGATCCAGCAGAGCCCGCAAAACGCGGTGGCAACGCGCATCTGAACCGACTCGTCCGAGGAAACAAGCGTGAGCGCAAAGGCTATCAGCGTGATGGGAATATCACCCAGGCAGCCTGCCGCAAGCCCGATGAGGGAATACCGATTCTCCACGTCTTCCCGTGCGGCTGCGACTGCTTCTGGGTCGGCCTTGGCCTCGGCTGCGAGGACTTCGGGCGAGGCGTGCACGAGGAGGGGCAGGTAGCCGTTGTAGCTGACGGTGGCGAGGCCGTATCCGATGCTGGCGATGATGACGAGCACCCCGGCGAGCAGCCAGAGAGAGGGCGTGAGCATGAAGAGGAGTGCTGTGCATGCCGCTGCCCCCATCCATGTGCCCGCCTTGAGCATCTGTATGGGAACGGGGGAAGGTGGAAAGGGATTGGGGGGAGAGAGTAGGGGATCGATAAGATGAGAAGTATGACGAGGGGGCCGGGTCGAATCCAGAGCGACGAGGAGAGCAGGAGAAGGCGCGAGGAAGCGAGGGGAGAAGCGGGGAAGTGAGGGGGGAAGCGGGGAAGTGAGGGGAGAAGCGGGGAAGTAAGGGGAGAATTGAGGAGAGGAGTGCCGGGTGGAGCGGATGGAGGGGGGTGAGGGGAAGGGTGAGGAGGAGTGGCATAACATGTGCTGCTCGTTCTTAGCTCTAACGTTTTGAGAAACGCTGTGCACGCACCTGCTTCCTGCCGCGGCCATAGTCCGTGAACGGGCCGAGCGACACGAGTGCGACGATCTGGCAGCACACGGCGACGCCGATCACGATCGTCGCGTACGACACGGGGTTGATGCTAAGCGCGCCGAGCCGCACGCGCGGCTGCTCCAGCTCGCTGTACCCCCCCGCTGACGTCACCAGCTGGTTTCCCTTCCCCGGCACGCACTGCAGGCAGTCCGCGGTGATCAGATCGGTGCACTGCGGTGGCTTGGCGGCGCCCGAGTCGTTCCAGGCTTGCGCGTCGGCGAGGAGGAGCAGCAGCAGCGGGATGAAGATCGGCATAGCGACGGCGCTGAACGAGTTCGCGGCAACGTTGTACGAGTACCACCCCCATAGCTCCCGCTTCGTCAGGGGAACCCTCGAACCCTCCGCGTATTCCTCTCCTCCCGCGTATTCTCCGCTTCCCGCGTTTTCCCCGCCTCCCGCGCTTCCTGCGCTCTTTCCGCTTCCGCCAGGGTCGTCTAGGTCGAGAAACGCGCTAGCGGCTTTCTGTCGCATGTGCTCGTCCTTGGGCGTGTATTCCAGTCGCGACACTACAGCGGGGATGGGAACGACCTTTGCCATGTCCTTCCGCCGTTAGTGAGATTGATAGTCTAGGCTTCACCAATACGTTTTTTTTACTGTTCCAGAAACTCTAGTGAGATCGATGAAATATGCTTCAACGAGACAGACCCACGGAACTCGTGAGATCGGTAGTCCGTGCTTCAACGAGTCGGGACCCTCTCGGACGACGAGCTCCTGCGTCTAAGTACGAGCAAAAGTTTCTAACCGTTTTTTCAGGCGATAATTGCCGCGCCTAACAACCCATTAAATGTTTGTAGCAGAGCGAGCCAACCGGTCCAGCAGAGGTCCCGACGCCGCATATCGAGTTGATTGGCGGTCTTATCGTAACAAGTGTCCTGGTTACGCAGCGTATTGAGTGCCTTCTAGTAGGGTCGGTACTAAAATGCGCTTTCTCGTGACTAGAGGTGCCTCGAGTCGAAGCATATGACTCGGGTCCTACCTGAGGGCGGCGGGAAGCGAAATCGCTAGCCACTAACCGACGGCGCTTCTCTGATTCAACGAGTAAGCATCCTCGTGAACTTTCTGCTGCACCATTTCCACTCGGATGACTGGAGGCAGAAAAGGGGTGTGAGAAGATGGATTATGAAATATGATGTCAGAGGGAGGCGAATTGTGACATACCGAATTTCACCAAATTGAGAGGTGCGTAAAATTTGAGATTTCGTGCGATTCGGAATGATCGCCATCACGACGCGACGCGACGGTTTTCTCCAGGTTTGAGACAAGGGAGCCCAACGGAATCTGGTCGGTCGGATCGGGACGGGATGTGATGGCACAGTAATGCCAATATTAAAAGCTGAACTGTGCCTTTGGGTGATTATACTGATTCGACAAACCACAACAGGTGAATTAGCATGCTCATCTGTAAATATAGTAGAGAGTAAAAAAGCATACAAGCATGTAATAAATATTGTGATAAGTTGGCGAGGAGCCAACTAATGCTATGTGAACAGAAGCCAGGGTTTTAGGTCCCAAAATCGTGTATTGAAGATCACGGCTCTGCATGAACCACTTGAGTGCCGTGAGCATGACTGCCTTAGTGAAAACTCTCCTCTTGTAATCTCTCTTGATGCTTGGTTGCCCTTCCAGCCTCTGCCACCCCCTTGTTATAGTTGACGAATAATTGGACGGAGACAGCTGGGATGACCAGCACAATAAAAACGTATCCAAACACAGGCCGGAGCTGACCCCCCACCTGGCAAACGGGGAACAGTGGAAGGCCAGGGAAAAACACCAAGTTTACAGACCCGAAGCAAAAGCACTCTAAGTGAGGCCCGCCGTCCCTACTGTACCTTCAAGGCACTGATGCTGCTTGCACTGGCTGATTAACGTTGCACACTCTCACCAGCAGCATCACATGCATGCATCTCATCAGCTTAATGGCCGTCCCATGCCCCTAAACCTCCCAGGCTAATCCATTACATCTCATCTCAACAATCCCCCCAGCACTGACCTGTGTGACGGCCGCAATGACGAAGGGGCCTATGCAGGAGCTGATGCGGTCGCAGATAAAGAAGAGCGTGAAGAATGCGCCCTCACGGCCCACGGGGATGAAGTCAATGAACAGCGTGCGCGAGTATGACGTGAGAGCTCCCAGGAAGAACCCCAGCCACGCCGCACACAGGTAAATCTCCCACGCGGATTTCAGCCCGAACCCCCCGTCGGCGGTGAAATACCCGATGAATCCCCACACGGGCAGGGGAACTAGGCACGTGAGGAGAATCACGACCATGGTCTTGTTCGTCGCGTGGGTTTTCCGCTGGAAGAGCAGCGCGAGCGGCATGCCAGCAATCGCCACCACAGCAACGGTAAGCGCAATGATAGCCATGGATGATACGGACAGGCAGAGGTCGTTTTGCCCGAACAGCACTGCCATCTGCAGCATGGTGGTGAATCCGCTCCCGTACGCAACGAGGCAGATGAGGAAGATGAACGTGTAGCGGTACCGGGAGGCCTCCTTGAAGAGACCGAAGAGGTGGCGCCAGCGGTTGAGCATGGAGAATCCGGTCTTGGGCATGGGGGGACCGGGGCGCGGGTGCAGCCAAGCGAAGGTGAAGGCAGAGAGCGCGATCCACCACACGCCGCAGACTGCCACGGTGACTCGAAGTTTGAGCAGGTCGTCTGGGATGAGCAGCGTGGTGGCGAAGGTGAGCAGCATGGCGAGCACGCTCCCTAGCGTGCCCATTGCCAGGCCTGACAGGGACGCCTTGTTCTCCACCTGATGGGGTAAGGGAGGGGAGGAGAGGACGAGGTATATCAATGAGGCGCCTTAGGCATTAAGTAACTGGGGAAGGAGGTGACGGTGGGGAGGGCGATTCACCAGAGGCCACAGACAGCCACGGTGACTCATCTGCTGGGGTTGTATAGGCGTGATTCCGTTGGGGCTGTTGGGCGGGTGAGGTTGTGACATGGTTGGGTGTGACACAGGGACGGAAGGAAGCAGCTACCTCACCTTCCCCCTGCCTCCTCACCTTCCCCCTTGCCTCCTCACCCTTCCCCCTGCCTCATCACCTTCCCCCTGCCTCATCACCTTCCCCCTGCCTCCTCACCTTCCCCCTTGCCTCCTCACCTTCCCCCTGCCTCATCACCTTCCCCCTGCCTCATCACCTTCCCCCTGCCTCATCACCTTCCCCCTGCCTCCTCACCTTCCCCCTGCCTCATCACCTTCCCCCTGCCTCCTCACCTTCCCCCTGCCTCCTCACCTTCCCCCTTGCCTCCTCACTCTTCCCCCTGCCTCATCACCTTCCCCCTGCCTCATCACCTTCCCCCTGCCTCATCACCTTCCCCCTGCCTCCTCACCTTCCCCCTGCCTCATCACCTTCCCCCTGCCTCATCACCTTCCCCCTGCCTCATCACCTTCCCCCTGCCTCATCACCTTCCCCCTGCCTCATCACCTTCCCCCTGCCTCCTCACCTTCCCCCTGCCTCATCACCTTCCCCCTGCCTCATCACCTTCCCCCTGCCTCCTCACCTTCCTCCTTGCCTCCTCACCCTTCCCCCTGCCTCATCACCTTCCCCCTGCCTCATCACCTTCCCCCTGCCTCCTCACCTTCCCCCTGCCTCATCACCTTCCCCCTGCCTCATCACCTTCCCCCTGCCTCATCACCTTCCCCCTGCCTCATCACCTTCCCCCTGCCTCCTCACCTTCCCCCTTGCCTCCTCACCCTTCCCCCTGCCTCATCACCTTCCCCCTGCCTCATCACCTTCCCCCTGCCTCCTCACCTTCCTCCTGCCTCATCACCTTCCCCCTGCCTCATCACCTTCCCCCTGCCTCATCACCTTCCCCCTGCCTCATCACCTTCCCCCTGCCTCCTCACCTTCCCCCTGCCTCATCACCTTCCCCCTGCCTCATCACCTTCCCCCTGCCTCATCACCTTCCCCCTGCCTCATCACCTTCCCCCTTGCCTCATCACGCTTCCCCCTGCCTCATCACCTTCCCCCTGCCTCATCACCTTCCCCCTGCCTCCTCACCTTCCCCCTGCCTCCTCACCTTCCCCCTGCCTCTTCACCTTCCCCCTGCCTCATCACCTTCCCCCTGCCTCATCACCTTCCCCCTGCCTCATCACCTTCCCCCTGCCTCCTCACCTTCCCCCTTCCTCCTCACCCTTTCTCCCTGCCTCCTCACCTTCCCCCTGCCTCATCACCTTCCCCCTGCCTCATCACCTTCCCCCTGCCTCATCACCTCCCCCCTGCCTCATCACCTTCCCCCTGCCTCATCACCTTCCCCCTGCCTCATCACCTTCCCCCTGCCTCCTCACCTTCCCCCTGCCTCATCACCTTCCCCCTGCCTCATCACCTTCCCCCTGCCTCCTCACCTTCCTCCTTTCCTCCTCACCCTTCCCCCTGCCTCATCACCTTCCCCCTGCCTCATCACCTTCCCCCTGCCTCCTCACCTTCCCCCTGCCTCATCACCTTCCCCCTGCCTCATCACCTTCCCCCTGCCTCATCACCTTCCCCCTGCCTCATCACCTTCCCCCTGCCTCATCACCTTCCCCCTTCCTCCTCACCCTTTCTCCCTGCCTCCTCACCTTCCCCCTGCCTCATCACCTTCCCCCTGCCTCATCACCTTCCCCCTGCCTCATCACCTCCCCCCTGCCTCATCACCTTCCCCCTGCCTCATCACCTTCCCCCTGCCTCATCACCTTCCCCCTGCCTCATCACCTTCCCCCTGCCTCATCACCTTCCCCCTGCCTCATCACCTTCCCCCTTGCCTCATCACGCTTCCCCCTGCCTCATCACCTTCCCCCTGCCTCATCACCTTCCCCCCTGCCTCCTCACCTTCCCCCTGCCTCCTCACCTTCCCCCTGCCTCTTCACCTTCCCCCTGCCTCATCACCTTCCCCCTGCCTCATCACCTTCCCCCTGCCTCATCACCTTCCCCCTGCCTCCTCACCTTCCCCCTTCCTCCTCACCCTTTCTCCCTGCCTCCTCACCTTCCCCCTGCCTCATCACCTTCCCCCTGCCTCATCACCTTCCCCCTGCCTCATCACCTCCCCCCTGCCTCATCACCTTCCCCCTGCCTCATCACCTTCCCCCTGCCTCATCACCTTCCCCCTGCCTCCTCACCTTCCCCCTGCCTCATCACCTTCCCCCTGCCTCATCACCTTCCCCCTGCCTCCTCACCTTCCTCCTTGCCTCCTCACCCTTCCCCCTGCCTCATCACCTTCCCCCTGCCTCATCACCTTCCCCCTGCCTCCTCACCTTCCCCCTGCCTCATCACCTTCCCCCTGCCTCATCACCTTCCCCCTGCCTCATCACCTTCCCCCTGCCTCATCACCTTCCCCCTGCCTCATCACCTTCCCCCTGCCTCATCACCTTCCCCCTTCCTCCTCACCTTCCCCCTTCCTCCTCATCCTTTCTCCCTGCCTCCTCACCTTCCCCCTGCCTCATCACCTTCCCCCTGCCTCATCACCTTCCCCCTGCCTCATCACCTTCCCCCTGCCTCATCACCTTCCCCCTGCCTCATCACCTTCCCCCTGCCTCATCACCTTCCCCCTGCCTCATCACCTTCCCCCTGCCTCATCACCTCCCCCCTGCCTCATCACCTTCCCCCTGCCTCATCACCTTCCCCCTGCCTCATCACCTTCCCCCTGCCTCATCACCTTCCCCCTGCCTCATCACCTTCCCCCTGCCTCCTCACCTTCCCCCTGCCTCATCACCTTCCCCCTGCCTCATCACCTTCCCCCTGCCTCATCACCTTCCCCCTGCCTCATCACCTTCCCCCTGCCTCATCACCTTCCCCCTGCCTCATCACCTTCCCCCTGCCTCATCACCTTCCCCCTGCCTCATCACCTTCCCCCTGCCTCATCACCTTCCCCCTGCCTCATCACCTTCCCCCTGCCTCATCACCTTCCCCCTTCCTCCTCATCCTTTCTCCCTGCCTCCTCACCTTCCCCCTGCCTCATCACCTTCCCCCTGCCTCATCACCTTCCCCCTGCCTCATCACCTTCCCCCTGCCTCATCACCTTCCCCCTGCCTCATCACCTTCCCCCTGCCTCATCACCTTCCCCCTGCCTCATCACCTCAGCTTATCCCTCCCTGCCAGCTAGCTCACCTTCTCGCGGACAGCAAGGATGGAAGCCTCGTCTGGGCCCGCAGCGAGCACCTTAGGTGATGCATCCACCAGTACAGGCAGGTAACTGCCGTAGTGAGAGGGAGGAGGGGAAAATGGGGGTGACAGTGGGAGCAACGGGGAGAGAGGGTGGTGATTGATAGGGACAGCAAGAATGTAAGCCTCGTCTGGCCCCGCAGCGAGCACCTTTGGAGACGCGTCCACCAGCACTGGCAGGTAGCTGCGCAAGAAGAAAGAGAGGGTAGGGAGGGCGGGTGGCACGGGTGGTGAGAGGGAATACAAGCGAGGATGGATGCCTCGTCTGGCCCGGCAGGGAGCACCTTTGGTGATGCATCCACCAGCACAGGCAGGTAGCTGACAGGGGGGATACAGGGAAAAGAGGGAGGGAGGGGGAGGGGAATCGAATGTGAGCGAGGGGAAGCGCGGTGGTGACAGGGACGCAAGTATGGATGCCTTATCTGGGCCGGCAGGGAGCACCTTTGGAGACGCTTCCACCAGCACAGGCAGGTAGCTGCCCACAGTGGGCGAGAAGGGGGTGGGGGGGAGGGAGGAGAAAGGATGGGGTAGGTAAGTGCTTCACAAGGAATTGAACTCTTGCGTGAGTAAAGGAAGTGGGGAGGGCGGAAAGGGGACAGATGAACAGCAGGGTTTGGATAGATTAAAGCACGTAAGATTGAAGCACGTAAGATTGAAGCACCTTAGATTGAAGCACCTTAGATTGAAGCACCTTAGATTGAAGCACCTTAGATTGAAGCACCAAGTCCCCTTAGTAGTCTACCAGTGCCGGCAGGAAGGTGCCAGCAAAAGCGGGGATGATGAGGGTGGGGATAGGGATCCTGTTGCCTCGAGCGGGTGAATAGGAATTGAACTCTTGCGTGAGTAAGGAGCCATAACCGAGACTAGCAATGATGGCAAACAGCACTGCCAGCCACCAGAGGGGTTCTTGAGACGTCGTAACAACATCACCGGCTGAAGCACCTCACATCCCACCTGATATAGCCTCTCACCTGTTGTAGCCGACGAGAGAGATGCCGTATCCGAGATTAGCGATGATGGCAAACAGACCCGCCAGCCACCAGAGAGACGGCGATGTGAGCGCCAGGCATAGAATGCAGGGTACTGCCCCCATCAGCGTTCCCACCAGCAGCATCTGTGGTGGGGGGGGGGGGGGGAGAGCAGGCAGGGAGAGGGAAGGAAATGCAGGGGAATGGTGAGGGGAGAGAAAGTAGAAAATGCATGGCACCGCTCACATCAGCAGTGTGTGGGAGGGGGATGGGGTGAAGGTGAGAGTTAGCGGAAAAGGGGGAGGGAGGGAGATCTGCAGGGCAAGAGGAACGAGGCAGAGAATGCACGGCACAGATCCCATCAACCCGTCCTCCCCGCTATCCTCCCCCGCTTCACGTCCTCCCAGCTTTACCTTCCCCATCCTTCCCCGTTATCATCGTACTCATCTGCCACCTCCCCCTGCCCGAAATCCGCCTCGGCGCCGAAGCACACGAGGCCGATGATGTGCACCCCCACGGCCAGCCGCCCTTTCCTCACCTCCCCCCCCCCCCTAATCCCACCCCTCATGCTCTCACCCGCCATCGGCCCTGCCCGAAATCCGCCTCGGCGCCGAAGCACACGAGGCCGATGATCTGCACCACCACGGCCAGTCCGATGATGACCGTTGTGTACGCCACCGGCTCCATCGACAGCGTGCCGGCTTGCAAGTTGGGCGAATCGTACGCCGTGTAGCTGCCGGGGAAGGGGTGTGGGACAATGGGGGGACAGCATGACAGTGTGTGGGTCAGCCCGATGACGACCGTGGTGCTCGCCAAGGGCTCCATGGATAACGCGCCCGCCTGCAGGTTCGGCGAGTCGTACGCCGTGTAGCTGACGGGGGGAAAGGGGGAGCGTGTCAAGGACGCCGGGCGCGGGGTGAATGAGGGGACCGTTGTACGCGTCACGGGTCGCATGGACAGCAGCAGACCAGCTTACAAGAAAGTGGGAGCGCGGGAGACGGGATGCAAAGAGGACCGCTTACGGGTCGGCGCGAGAGCTAAAAGGGCAGTCTTGGAAAGAACTAAATGCGGCGCGCGGAGCAAGATGCCTCGAACGACATGCGAGCTACAAGACCGCCATTTCAAAACGGGTCGATAAGATTAGACATGACATGACATGACAGCCCCGTGTCGCTACCGTTGCGCCAAGCACCCCCGCGGTGCGCCCTCTCGGAACTCCGCAATCGTAAGAATTTATGTCGCTAACTTCATATTCGAAGGTTGCTGATTTATTTACTACGCTAACACGCTTCGGGGGGATAGTAAGTTGCACACGAAGCACGAGCGTACCTGGTTGACGTCATCAGCTGCTGCCCCTTGCCCGCCACGCATTGCAAGCAGCCTGTCGTGAGCGTCGCGTTGCACTGCGGCGGCGGCGGCGCGCCGGCCTGCGTGGCGGCCTGCGCGGTGGCGAGGTAGACGAGGAGCAACGGGAAGAAAATCGACATTGCGACGAGGGAGAACGCGTTTCCCGCCGCGTTGTAGATAAACCACCCCCACCACTCGCGACGCGTCACCGGGTCTTGCTCCTTCTCCGTCAAAATCGCCACGCTTGCCGCCAGGGCTTCCGGCGGAACATCCGCCGCGAAGTCATGGCCGTTCGGACCGCCTAGCGGTGCTTCCGCGGACGAATCTCGCGTCTGATCGGTCGTCATGATTGGTTCCGCTCGACGACTATACGCAGGCTACAGCGGAAGAGCGCCGACCGTTAGTATGCGCGTTTCGCGAGAGTCTTGAAGAACGAGCTGAGACATTAACACGGTAACAGCGAGGCGTCAACATGCTAGAGCGGGAGGAGTTTTGGGGTTGGAACGGTTGCCAAGGAGAGGAAATAAAAATATGCGGGAGTGACACTGGCGTGGCCCACGCACGATGGGGTGTTGACAGCTTGCTAGCTCCCCCCCTTGGAATTGCAAGAACACGGCTCGGTTGGGTGGGTGTAGGCCAGGTTGTTGAGCTCGGTAGTGATGGTTGAGAAAGGATCAGGTAGGGTGGGGTGGGGCAAAGGTGCACGAAGGTCGGTGGTTGGGTTGCAAGCTGGTGGGATGGAGTGGGGTTGGGAGGTAACGCAGATGCGACAGAAGGGCTGCCGTGCTGTGCCAGCTGTGCGATGGTGCAATACAATTGATGCCCAGCCAGTGCACGCAAATTTGCCTTGCGCCGGATGGAAACGCTGCACCCGAGGTTGTTTCCCCAGCCTGTTGCTCCCACGTTACAAGTGCGTCGCGTGGTTATCAACCAATAGTAACGAACAGTCCGAGGTCAAGCAGAAGAGACTGAAGTCAAATAAGGTAACAGATCTTGCTTATAAGTACCTGCGAATCCTTTTTAGCTAGCTGCGAATTGACGAAAATCATGCGACATTCTCGTTACAGTTTATACGCCTCTCTCACAAGGCAACCGGGAGGAGCTCAAACAGGCATCAATTGTACACCGCACGCAGCTTCGGCCAGCCCTTCAGAGTATGCTTGCAGGATGCAGTAGCGGGGCAGTTAAAAAAAGGAAGGAACCGAACTGCGCAACGATGGCCTTCGGCAGGGATTGGATTCGTCATGAATCGAGCTGCGAGCTGTCTTCCTCGAATGCGGTGGATCACATGATTCGACGTTCTCAAGAGCCTTTTTGAGCAGCCCAAATCTTTCCACCGAGCTGCAGAATTCAGTGGGCTGGACGGAACGAAACTCAGCACATCCAGCGAGTCACATTTCCATTCACTGTTCCGAGCTGGTGGGCTGCTGTAGTGGCCAATCGTCTGCGAGTCAAAATCAGCACTGTGGCGCAGATAGAACTGTGGATCTCAGATGCCCACCACCAAAGTGGCATTGACTCGTTCCCTGTAAGTCAGGCCTGGTGTTACGGGTGCAATGAATCGAGGTAGCGAGAATTGCACTAAGGTGTCAAACGAGTACAAAATGTGAGCGAAGGCATGAGCGAACATTTATACGCGAAACATGCAAAACGGTAACGCGGTGCGTGCGAGCTTGCTAGTGCTACGCTGGAGCGAGGCTCGGGCTAGTCCCGAAGCGTAGGCCGATACGGCCATGCCAGCAGTGCGAGGTTTGGTAAAACAGTGCGCGCGAAGTCGGCGAAGTTCCGTTAGCAGTAACGGGCGAACAATCGGCTGTTGCTGTACGCGATGTAGTCGGCTCCGTAAGGAATGCCGAGAAAATTCCTTACACTACCCCCCCCCCTCAAGAAGCCCCCTCCGCTACGCGAGTGCGTGTATATCGCGGAATCCCCGGCTCCTCAGGTACACTTGCAGGGCAGGGTGATTTTCGATGTTGCTCAGGGGCACCCAGCTATCTTCAGTTGGCGTGCGGTCTTTCCAGCGAACGAGGAATTCAATCCTCCTGATTCCCGTGGGGTGGCGGATCCGATGGCTCAGAATTTTTTCGGGCTCGATGATCGGCTCTGATGCAGGGCGAGTCATTGATTGTGGCCGGTGACGCGGCAGTTGACTTGTGGTCGGGATGTATGGGCGAAGTAGGCTGACGTGGAACGAAGGGCTGATGTACCAGTCGGTTGGCAACAGTAGGTGTGCGGTGATGTCAAACATTATACATGTTATGCTTGTGTAGGCTACAGTGGGTTAGCCTATAGGGGGTACACAATTCTAGGGTTTCCTACTTGTACTCATTTCACTGCTAGTTTCATTCATTCCTGTTCGCTTATTCTCACATGGTATAGAGCGAGTCCTTCTACGGACCGTTTTTTTTTGGGCCCACCGAAGCGCCCCCCGAGGCGCGATCTTTTTTTTTAGCGACCCCTCGGGTCGCCATTTCCCCTGCGGCCCCGCCGCCTTCACTGACGCGGCCCCGCCGCCCTCTCTGTCGCGGCCCCGCCGCCTGCTCTCACGCGGCCCCGCCCCGGCTCCTTCGCGGCCCCGCCGCCTGCTCTCGCGCGGCCCCGCCCCGGCTTCTACGCGGCCCCGCCCCGGCTTTCACGCGGCCCCGCCGACGGCTTTGTCGCGGCCCCGCCCAGGCCCTTACGCGGCTCCGCCGCCTGCTCTCACGCGGCCCCGCCCCGGCTCCTTCGCGGCCCCGCCGCCTGCTCTTGCGCGGCCCCGCCCCGGCTTCTACGCGGCCCCGCCCCGGCTTTCACGCGGCCCCGCCGACGGCTCTGTCGCGGCCCCGCCCAGGCCCTTACGCGGCTCCGCCGCCTGCTCTCACGCGGCCCCGCCCCGGCTCCTTCGCGGCCCCGCCGCCTGCTCTTACGCGGCCCCGCCCCGGCTTCTACGCGGCCCCGCCCCGGCTTTCACGCGGCCCTGCCGACGGCTCTGTCGCTGCCCCGCCCAGGCCCTTACGCGGCCCCGCCGCCTGCCCCCGTCGCGGCCCGGTCACCTCCTGACGGCCCCGCCGTCCCTTCGTGACGGCCCCACCGTCCCTTCCTGACGGCCCCGCCGTCCCCTCCTGACGGCTCCTGCCGTCCCCTTCTACCGGCCCCGCAACTGCACCTGCTGGCCCCGCCGCTGCACCTACCGGCCCCCCACCACCCACCCCCCCTTTTCCCGTCGCCTGTCGAGGCGACCTGAGAGGCCAGCAGAGGGGTGGCAGGTGTGTGGCCTCCCCTGCTTCTCCTCCTCCTTCATCTCCCACTGCAGCAGCCGAGCCGCCCCACAGCCGAGCCGCCCTGCCGCCGAGCCGCCGGGTCGCTGAGCTGCTGAGCTGCAGTTGCTGCCGAGCCGCCCTGCCGCCGAGCCGCCGAGTCACCGAGCTACTGAGCTGCAGTTGCTGCTGAGCCGCCTTGCCGCCGAGCCGCCCGAGTCGCCCGAGCCGCCGAGCCGCCGAGCTGCCGAGCCGCTGAGTCGCCGAACCTACTCTTCCCACCACTGGTGAGCTCTTGCCCTGCTAGCACGCTGCGCGTCGCCTGCTTGCCTGCCTGCCTGCCTCTGCCTGCCTCCCTGCTGCTAGTCCTGCTCCTGCTTCTACTTGCGGAGCCAAATGCAGCCCCAGCGACGCCGGCGTGAGTCCCTCACGCCGCAGCAGCTGCGTGAGTGGTACGCTGGTTGGGGCTGTAGGGGTGGCGACGCTACTCCTACTACCACTCCTGCTGCTTCTACTCGTGGTGGCGGCCAGATGCAGCTCCCGCGACCCTCTCGCGTGTCTCTCACGCCTCGCCAGCTTCGTGAGTGGTACGCTCAGAGTGGAGGGTCTCTTAGTGCTGTTCGCTGCTCTTACGTGATTCGCACTGGTACTCGGACTGGTCAGCCTTGTGGGACACGTAGTCATACACCGTCCCGCTGCTTCGCCCGTCTGAGCGACGCCTGGCGTACCGTGTTTGGCGACGAGGCTGAGCTTCCCGACTGGGTGGAGTTGCTTAGGCAGAGGGTAGATATATATGCTCTTGACTATGATGCTATTCTCACTGCCATGTATGCATTGCCTACTAGTGCTGACCGTGCAGGTCACCTGTGCGTCCCGCCTGACCCAGGTATAGGACCTGCTGCTCTAGCTACTGGTGAGGCTGCTGCTCTGGGTGCTAGTGAGTCTCCTGCTCCGGGTACAGGTGCGGCTGCTGCTCTAGGTGCTAGTGAGTCTGCTTCCTCAGGTGCGAGTGAGGCTGCGCTCTCAGGTACCGCGTTGGCTTCGGCCTCCCTCACCTTTACACTTGACTCACGCCGCTTGGTCGGCCGGTTGCAGTCTCCCTGGCTGACCCCTCTGGGGGTCCTGTCCTCGCTCACTTCTCCACTGTCCTCCCGTGTCCGGCTGCCCCCTCGGGCACCCTGTCTGGCCTGTACCTCCCCTCGTTCTCGACGAACTTGGTGAGTGGTGCAGACCTACAGGATGCGGGGGTTCACCAGTTCACTCCTGCGAGTCAGCGGGTGACCCACTGCACGGACGCACGCACAGGCCGGCACCTGGCCACGTTCTCGCGTCGGCCGGGGTCGAGCCTCTACACCCTGACCACTGAGTCTCCTCCTGTCCCCGCGTCCGGTCAGGTAGCAGCGTCGGGTCAGGTGTTTGCTGCTGCGTCCAGGTCTGGTCCTGAGTCTGCCCCCTGTACTTGTCGCCTCCTGTCTCACGAGACTCTCCTGTGGCACCACCGTCTTGGCCACCCCTCCTTGCCCCGTCTTCGGAGCATGGCTTCCCGTGTCCTTGTCTCTGGTCTTCCCCAGTCTCTCCCTCCTCTCCCCTCCGGGCCAGGACCTCCCTGTGTCCCCTGTGTCGAGGGTCGCCTCCGGGCTACTCCTCACTCCTCCCACTTCCCCCCGACAGAGGCTCCCCTGCAGACGCTTTACATGGATGTGTGGGGCCCAGCCCCCGTCCGTGGGCAGGATTACGAGCGCTACTTCCTGTTGGTGGTTGACGACTACTCGCGTTACACCACAGTCCTCCCCTTGCGCAGCAAGGGTGAGGTCACTGAGGTGCTGATCGACTGGATCCGCGAGGCTCGTCTCCGCCTCAGGAAGAGCTTCGGCTCGGACTTTCCTGTTCTGCGTCTGCACTCGGACAGAGGCGGAGAGTTCTCCTCTGGCCTTCTGCGTGCCTACTGTCGTGCGCGAGGCATCCGCCAGTCCTTCACGCTTCCGGACTCACCACAGCAAAATGGGATTGCTGAGCGCCGCATTGGCATGGTCATGGATGTCGCTCGTACGTCCATGATGCATGCGGCTGCCCCCCATTTTCTGTGGCCGTTTGCGGTGAGGTACGCGGCG